ATTTATAATGACTTTTTAGAATTACATAATCTCAATGGAAATTACTTCTTGACTGATACTGTAGTCAATGCTTAGATCAAATGAATTATTAGAAGATCTGATGTGTTTTTGAACTTCAGGATGTTTTTATTATTTGAGTTTATGTATCAAACACGAAACTAGTGATTACTGAGCAATGAAAAATAATTGTGCGAAGCAATGATTCATTTTTTGAGTTATCACTTTCATTGATATTTGTTCAGTTAATAAACACAAAAGTTTCAAGAGAAGTGTTGCGTTCTTATAAAAACTATGGAATATACTCAGGTCAAGAAATACGAGCCGTTTTCTGCCGGGAAACTCGACAAAATAGTGAAAGAAAAATATTCGGCCACCGGATTCGTACTTCCAAGTTCCTACTATTTTAGCGAGTTTTTCGGTCAAAAATGATGTCTTTTCGGTGGAAACTTGCCGGAAACTCACAGATTCGGGTGCTGAAATCATTGATTCGGGTAGATATACAGAGCTATAAATTGATGTTTAGAAGAGCTGATCTTTCTCAAATCTCTGATTATTTAGAAGTTTAATCTATTGAGTAAGCTCTCTCGGTTCAAAATTAATGTGAAAATTCAGAATATTTCCTTATGAAGTCATATAGTCGGACGAAAATGTACGTCAAGGTAGATATTTTATGTCGTATAAATGGATATGTTAGATACAATTATGAATTGTAACTAGACATTAGCTCTTGTCTACTTTTAATTCACTCAATCAAAACTTTGGTTTTTTTTTTCATCTTTGGATTTTTGTGGCCATTGTATAGTCTCAAAATTGTATATATGTACTAAATACAGTTTGAGATCCAAAAATTGTCTTTAAACATTAAAACATCAAATTTACATTAGAGAATCACGTTTTTCTCAAAGTAACTTTGTCATGGAGAAAAGTGCAGAAACATCGCTGTGTTTCACGGTCTAGTGTATCCAATCGAGCTGAAACTTTTTTTCACATATACTATACACTGTTTGAGATGGGTTTTATATTTTTTGTTTGAAAAAATATTGGTTTACTGATTTCTGATAGCTCTATTTAAAAAAATGTGTATGTTTTAGGATACCTTCAGTATTTTGGCATTTTTATTCGAAGGATAAAAGATGAAACAATATCCATTCCGATCAGTGTCTAGTGCCTGTAATAGGATTTTCTGTCCGATAGAATATAGCGTCTCGGAGAAGTGGCAGGATAAATTGGGACCATTTGGATCCTAGGATCCAGAAACTTTGAGTTTTTGACAATTTTTGTTCTACTCGTCAAGACCTACGTGCCCTGAAAATTTCAAATTTTTCTGAGAAACCATTCTCCAGAAACTATGGAAAAGGAACAGGAGAAATCATTAGAATACTCAAATTGTTATTTTCGTCTATTTTATGAAAGATATCAAATAACAAAGGTTTTAATATTTACTTGAATACAAAAAAACCAATTAGAACAACAATTTGTATTGCAATAGCACATATAAATGTAAATGTACCCACACAAGAACTATTATTCCCACCAGTTACTGTTGGACATTTCACTTGATCTGACTTAAAAACAAAAAAACAAGGAAAAAATTATTTCTCTTAAAAGATAACCAATTGAAATTTTCTCTTACTGATTTTTGTAATAATGAATTTGTTTCCGATTTAATCATTCTCACTATTTCTCGAATTTCATTTACTGCCGTTACATCTATATTTGAAGTACCTGCTTGTTGTCCTGTACCAATAGGTTTTTGATTATTAATACTTGTTTGAATATGATTGACTTTTTGTTGTAAATCCGTTAATACTTGTCTATTAGATGATCAAATATTAAAAAAAAAAAAGAAAAAAAACCTTTTGTTTTCCAAACATACGCATAACTTTGAATAGTTCTTGTCATGTCAGTGTTAGAATTTATCACTCGATTTATATCTTGAATTCGAGCTACATCAGCAGGTACACTTGATCCACCCTAAATTAAATAATTATAGATTTGATAGTTTAATAGGTAGTTTTTTTTCGTACGAACTTGTCCAGTAATTTGTTGTTGTGTGCCAGTAGTTATAGCTAATCGTTCAATACGTCCCAATAATTCAATCATTTTGTTATCAATACTTGTTAATGATAAACGAATTTGATCTTGACCTTCTAAGATAGTACGAAATTCACGATCATATTCACTTTCAAACTAAAAACGAATTATTTCAAATAATTAAATATTAAATAAATTGTTTTAATACTTACTAAACTTTTTTCGTCATATGGTGTTGTTAAATCTGGATGTTCTTTTTTATACCTAAAATATTAAAAGAATATAAATTAGTTTTTTTTTTTGAGAATAATAAAATAAAAAAACAACGAACTCTTCTTGTTGTTTTTTAAGTTCTTGTTCATATTTATCATATTCGTCTTTATATTTTTTTGCTTGTTCATCTGTTGCTGCTTGATTTTGTACTACCGTTTGTTTATCAGTATAAGTATGTGTTATAAATTCTAATACATCATGATCATCAGCAAGACCACCTGTTGCAGCTGTTACACCAAGATAACCAGTTTTTGGTAATTGTACTCCATCAATACGTGTACAAAGTTCAAATGCATTATCATCTTGTGTTATACCATTATTAAGATAAATCTTAAAATTAAAAATATATATATATATATTATTAATAATTTTTATTCTATGACATACTGTTAATCCTTGATTGACATATTCAATTTTAACTCGAATTGGTAATGGCTTATTACGAAAATCTCGAATACAACTGCCTTGAATTTGTCCACTACCATCATGTTGATGATCATATGATTTAGTACCATCATTAACCATAACAGCTATTATTGGATTATTTTGCTAAGAAAAAGAAAAGTTTTTAATTTTTATATATTTATAAAAGAATTTTGTTTTTGTTTCGGAGTCATGAATCAGCCAAGTGATCACAGTCATCATGCTGGGATTAACACTCCTATTTTTTATTATTGCCATCATTGATTAAGAGACACATATCATTGTCTGTTTCCAGACTAAGGACTCTGCCCAATGATGGCACTTAGATTCGAACATACGAACAAAGACTTTAAACAAAACGACTAAATGAGTTTTATACAACATGAATCGAAGCAAATAAATAATATTTTGAACACTATTTATATTCAATTTTATATGGAATAGATTTTTACTGAATAAACAACATAAATAGATAAAACATAATAATATGTAACTTACAAGTTGAAGAGTCTACTAATTAGGAAAATTGAGGCTTTTTTTTGTTTATATTACTTATTGAAAAAAAAACCGAAGAAATATTTTTTAATGTAACTTACCAATGCATCATTGTCAAATGAATCAAAAAATACACCTAAACCTTTCCAAAGATCATTGGATCCAAACACAGGACCTCCAGAACCTGCTGTCTCGGTAAACCAAATAGCCTAAAAAATAAAGAAAACTCGATGAATAAATAGAAAATTCTATAAATCCTATAACACTAATCAAATAAAAGGTCACTTTTAAATAGATATGTCAATAGAGGATTAGCTCAGAGTAACCTTTTCAACTATGAGTGAGTCTAAAGAACAAAAAGATTTTCAAGGTTTTTTTCTTATCTAAACATTTCAACAATCGAATTTCTATTGGAATCTTTAATCGAAATGAAAATTTGATTCTCTATTTTGATAGAAAAACAGGGTGAAAATACTACTTGTCCATCGATGAAAAATCAGAATATCTACTAATCAATGCTTCTTGATTGAATAACCCATACAATTTCAGCATTATATGCAATGAAACATGCTTTTTTTTAAAAAACGGTGATAATTAACTCTTCAGAACCATGATTTTCTTTTAGTGAAATTAAAATATGTTATAGGGTAAGATGCAAAAAATGCAACAGTTTTTTCTTATACATGGTTACATAGAGCTCGATGAACTGAGCATGAATATGTATTTTCTTATTTTTTTCAAAGCATTGGCATTAAAAAAAAATTGAGGTTTTTCGATAGTCCTGAATGGCCCATTTTCTTCGATTTCAAAAAAATTTTCCGTTTCATGGTTTTCATAAAAACTAATTTTGTTTAGGTTCGCCATGAAAAACTGAGTTTATGAGACTAATTTCGAAATTAGTCTCATAAACTCAGTTTTTCATGGCGAACCTAAACAAAATTAGTTTTTATGAAAACCATGAAACGGAAAACTTTTTTGAAATTGAAAAAATAGAGCAGTTTTGTGGTATGACAGGCATATTTTCAGAAAAAAATGGACCATTCAAGACTATCGAAAAAACTCTATTTCTCTTATCAAAAGGTTTCGATAAAAAACAATGAAATATATATTCATACTCAGTTCACATCAAGTTTCATCTAACTGTGTATAAAACTTTTCTTTGTATCTTATCAATAAACAACTTTTTGGTAACCCTTGAATATTTTATTTAAAATAAAATAAACTCCGTCGTTTACCATTCCATCAGCACCAAGACGGCCTCGACCAGTTACACGTAATTTAACTTCAAGGAGCCAAGTATCTGCAGTCATTGTATTCTTACTCCAAAGCCAACCTATATATAAAATTTATAATTATATGAACTTGAAAATTATTTTTTTTCTCTACCTATTTGACTTCGAATTGATGGTGTAACACGTATTTGTTCATCACTAGCAATAGCACCTGAAGTTAAAAAAGAATAAATAAATAAATTCAAGATTTTGTTGTTTGATTAAAATAAAACTTACTTCCACCAAACGTCCAAAATGGAACAGATCCATCTTTAAAAGCAAGATGAGGTCCTTTAAATGATAATTTATATTCAAATCTTTTAACTAATTGAGGATTTAGTAAAGATGGATCAGTATAAGCAAATATAATAATAATAGAAGAATATATTGTTAGAATAAATTGATAAAATTTTGGCATAATTTTTCTAATCTCACAGTATAATGGTGGACAATAATCTGATCAATATCAAATTTTCGAATTCGTAACAGTAAAAGTGAGCAAATCACCAATCAAGTTTTTCAGCCAGGTGTTGACTATTTATTTGATTCAATCTTCTTCAAGTTGACGTAATCAATTTAGAATTTTTCTTTTTCTACAGATTAAAAAATAATCATTAACAAAGAAAATATTTTTCCATTAAAAATAACAGAAATTGTTGATTTTTATTTTTTAATGAAAATTATAAAAGAAGATGTCGTTTTTATTAGAGATAAAGATTTTTTTTTATATCGTTGATTGGAATATTTTCTTAACCAATAGATAATATAAAGAGTGAGGTGTATATCACATGATATTCATTCGTTTTTGTTTGTGAACAATGATTTAAATACATAATATACTGAAGTTTAAAAACGAAAATATCCTGTTCTATAGCATTAGTGTATACGAATATGAAAACAATATTTAGTATATAATGTTGTTCAAAAGAACATAGTCATTGAATGTAAATTGAAGAAAATTTATCATTTTAAAATTAAAATGACAACGATGTTCTTTTGACTCGATACTATCAATATGTATTTCTTTATTTCATTTAATCGCAATTCGTTCGATGTCTCTATTCAGTTTCAACAATCACGGCCAATGTTACATGTTAGTTTAGTGCTGGAGATTGGTAATGATAACCGCGATAAGTACCCGATTGAATTCACAATAGAATCCATCGAATACAAGGTTTTCGAATCGAAACTGGGTAATCGTCCCGAAGATACGAGATACTCTTGTCAAGCTTTTTGTATTCGATGACTAACGTACTCTATACATTTTTTAGACAACTAAAATTCTTCGGACTGGATTAACAGAAAATTTTCAGACGCGGACCTGGGACCGACCCAATGGGTTCTAATTCCCAATGAATGAACAACAGATTTTTTTTCGAATACGCAGTAAAAATAGAAGTGACGATTTTGTTGGGTTTTCTTTCATACGCTTATCTTTTGATAGATTTTTGAACTTGCTTGTATGCATTTAATTTACTTGGCATAATCGTTGACAACAATGGGAAAGATGACAGTTTTTAGTTATCTTTCAAAATTCTGCTTAACTCTAGTTTGATCAAAAAGAAAAATGCCGCAAAATAAAATATAAATAGATAAAAACGTTAAATAATAAATATGTCAAATTGTGAACAGATCAAAAGATAAAAATGTCATTTTATTGAAATGTTAAAATTATATAAATTATTGTTTCGTTAAAGATAAAAAATTCAATAATATTTATTTCATTTTTAGTGTTACGTCGTAGGCGACATCTATCGAACACGTGAACATAGCTTAGTTTATATCAAAAACGCAGTTGTTTTTTTCCATAGAAATATGAATTTTTAGTACTGAACAAAAAAATTAATGGGAAAAAAGTGAAATTTGTCAAAGAAGATTTTCGATATAAAATGCGTAATGAGAGGAGTCTCACCCTAAACTTTTGTCGGAAAAATTTTTATTTTAAAAATTAGCAAATGTCATATCATTTGATAAAGTTTTCCATGCTGAGTCCAGATATGTCCTCATTTTTTCTCTGAAAGTACTCTTGAAACAAAAGAATGGGGAAAATCTTTAAAAAGACGAATTTTTTTTTAAAGGGCGTAGCTGTAGATGAGACTACCGGTTTTGATTAAGAGACATCCAACACTCCATTACCCGCGCTCACATCCTCATAAGTCAATAAATCACATTCACCTCTTTGTAACACAATAGATTTTTATTTGTTAATCATGAACTATAGAATTGCCTTTAGAAGTATCGTGTTAGGTTTAGTATCAACATTAATTAATACTAATTCTAATGCTTATGCGTGCATATTAAAATTAATTCTAATATCTTGGCATTATTTGCCATTAGAATTAGCTAATGCAAAGATATTATCTATGACTCGATAACTGAATTCTTTTGTTCTATTATTGGAATGGCCTTTTCTAGTATAAAAGACCTTTGTTCTATTATTGGAATGACCTTTTCTAGCAGAAAAAAAACATTTGTTTTTGTTATTTAGAACTTTTGAGCTTGATCTTTACAGGTCCCACTGTACTTTATAAAGTACAATTTTTTTTGAAGTTTCTCAATTTTTGAATCACTCGCAAATGTGAAATGCTATCGAGGTGCAGTTTTTTCTATGATATAGAAGACACTTTAATGCATACATCTATATACGAGTTATCATCCTAATGAGGTCGCTCAGGTAGTGTAGCCTGATGGATCTTTGGAATACTACTTCTATCCTAAAAAGAAGGAGAGCGGATAATACCATTTTGTGGTCCGCAAAATATTTCAATTTTCCGTGTTGAAATCAAGTTAGAAGTGGCTCCTAGTAATATTTCAAAGGTTGATTTGGCGACAGCTCTCAATTGAATTTTAACTCACACGTAGTCCCTCACGGAAAGGACCAAAATACTTCTTCGCTATCCCCGTGGGGAAGTATAGACATGAATTGAAAATTTTTTTAAAAACTTTGATGAAAATTTCAACAATGCAGGCTACTCATATTAAATATAAAATCTCAAAGAAATTTCATTCATTAGTTGAGCTATGGTCTTGATAGGATCAAACCTTCAAAGGTTTAGTCGTAAGTAACATTTTAACATTAATTTATTCTAATGGCAAAGCATAAGAGTTAATAATACTAATGCATAAGTAATAACATTTTATTAATCCTGTCACTAATACGACACTTCTGATTGCTACAACTTTCCAGTAAAATAAATTTTAAATCTTTTTGTCATATTTTCATGAGATTGTTTTATTCTATCAATGCAAAAGTAAAATTTAATATAATTTAAATAAATCTTGTGTAACATAGCACAATACTTTGTACTTCACTCGAGTATTTCAGACTTACTTGATCTTCAGACGCGGTAAGTTATGATTGTAAATGTATTTAATATACTATATTAACAAGCAATAAATACAAAATTATAATTCACAGAAGTCTTTTGTTTAAATTTAAATGTATGAAGCTAAAAAAGCAAATGTTTCTAAATTAGATTTTCATTTAATCGATTAATTTGATTTTATTTTATAATATTAAGAAGAAAAAAAAAATAAAGGTCAATATGTTCTTTGTTTTATTTTAAAAAAGAAGTTTATTGAAAATGTTTTCTTTCTCTTTTTTTCATATGTAGACTTACAAAGTTAAACGAATATATATATATATATATATATAAATATGTACAAGTACACACACCAAAGAAAAACAAACAAAAATATGAATCAATCTACTTTTCTTATTTTTGTTATTAGAATGAGATTTATATTTTGTATAATTTTAACACGGACAAAATAAAAGAAAAAAAAAAACAATAGACTAAATAAACACAAAAGAGATCACAGTGATTATGTAGGACGCTGTTCGTTGTTATATGCATGAAGTAAACGTTTTTTTAATGGTACACTTGGTTCAGATGATGCTGCTAAAAATGCATCAGAGTGATTAGACATATTGCAATATGATCGTTGCCTTGGAAATTCATATAGTTCAGGTTGGACAAGCATCGACTTAAAAACAAAATAATAAAAAATTTTAGTAATTTTTCTTTATAGAAATTTCGATTTCGAAAAAATCAGTTCGGAATCTCGTTTTATGTGAAAGTGATATCTCTTCTTATTTCATATAACAGATAAATTAATTGAATATGTTTGCTATTTTTTTTTTTTTTGTACGAAAATAAAGTTTTGCAGACAAAAAATATGTAATTATTTAATTTAATAATGCATGAAACATGATTAAGATATATTGATGATCAATTCTAGTTTAGTTAACCAAAACAAAACAGTCACAAAGATAGATAAACTGTCTGATATGTACGTCAATTTTCTGAATACTCAACGTACTTTGACTGTTGAATTAACTAATTATACGTAGTTTAGATTCTTAGTTATTTCTTTTAATTAATATCATGTGTTCTGAGTTGTCAGTTTCACATTGGTTAGAGAAGAAAAAAACATTTATGGACACTGTTGACTAATAAATATGATAATCTAATGTGCTTTGTTTATTATATATCAAGTGGTCTCATTAATATGTTGATAGAAGAAAAATATTGTCAGTATCTTCTAAAGATATATGGAAAACTCTTGAAAAAATCAAACAGAAAGGTCACTAATATCAATTGGCAGACAAGATCTTTTTTTTTCAACGGCATCGAACGTGTATCAATCGATGTAGTAACAATTGGCAAATATTTTCTAATTGACAAAGATATAATTTAAGGATGTACGTACTTTTCATCTTAAGATATTCTATGTTAAAAAAAGTACTACATAAAGAAAAAATCAGATCAAAATCAATTAGAAACTGATTATAATAAAAAAGAAAAGTAATCGAGTGAAATTCGAATTTAATTGATTATTCTGATTAATTTCGATTATAATTAATTAAATAAATTATGCTAAAAAACATTGCTGTTAATTTATTTTCTTTGACGATTAATCGTAGGATCTTTAAAAAAGTATTTTGTTTTTTTTTGATTTTTGTGAATTATAATTAATTTTTATATTAATATTGAATTGATTATAAACGAAATTAATCAGAATACTCGGCGAAATTTTAAGTTCTTGGATTATGTTTGATTATAATGAATTTTAATCGGATTATTTCATCTAATCTTTTTGTTTACACAGAATGAATATAACGAATACACTATAAAACATGGAATTGAAATAAACAAAAAAGCATCCTTCAGATCTTATCATGAAAAAAGAAAAGTGAAATACGTTTATTCAATACTTTAAAGAATGCTGAATGAATACTGTAAAATGTCTCTCGATTTTCTATTGCCAATTAATGATATTGTCCTACTTTTATTGTTTTAAGTAGATTCATCAATATTTTTCGGTTTTGAAGTTCTTTATCATATTTACTTTTGATTTACGTATTGATGTCATAGTAGTACTCTTATTATTATTATTATTATTATTATTATTATGTGGTTCAGTTCCAGATGATGATGATAATGTTGTAACTGGTGATGGCAATATTAATTTTGTTGAATGTGTATAACGTGAACAATTATTTGAAGGAATTCGATCATGATGTATGCAAAATTGATTATAAACTGAAGTGTTCATATCAACTTTATCATATGGATATGAAAATTGATTTGTCGTTGGTTTTTTCATTGATAAACCTTGTTGTTGTGGTTGTTGTAGTTGTGATTGATTTGAATGACAAAAACGTTTTGATGAATTAAAATGAAGAAATTCACTTTGTTGATGATGTATCAATGGAACTGAATTGGTTGCTGATGATTTAAGATCAAATGGATCATGTAGAGAAAATGGTGGAACATTTGTTATTGATTTACTTGGTGACATTAATGGCGTTTTTGATATAGATCTTGAAAATTTCTTTTGAATAAAATTTTATTTGTAGAAAAAATTTTCGTTATTACCTCTTTCGTTTTAGTTTTGGTTGTGTGGTTGATTGAATATTTGTTTTACTAGAAGAATTCTTATTCTGAGAAACTTTTGGTGTTGAGTCTAAGGATAGAAAAATTAAAAACAATAAAATAAAACTATTAAAATAGAATTTACTATTTTGTGGAGGTGTGAATGGTGAATGTTCACTATCAGATTTATCAGATTCTCCACGTATTAAATATTCAAAATCTTTTGAAAATGGTGGTGTTGATACGACTTGCGGTTTTGTAGGTACTTCTGTCATGCTATTAGTTCGTTCTATAGATTTATAATAAAGAATTGTCAATTTTAAATTTTATTAAATTTGTTTTTTTATTAACCTCTGTTCATAAGTAAAGTTCGTGTTATTGAACTACGTGTTCGTTGAATTCCACTATCAGTTCCATGATCACCAGTATTAGTTATATTTTGAGCTGATTGAGAATCAAGTATTTGTTGATTGATTTCTATAAAATATAAATATAAGCAATTAATATAAAATATAAATTAAATTTTTACCTTCATATTGTTGATTGTGTAATGGCTTACCACCGAGTAATTTTGCAATGGATGAATTTCGACGACGTTGTTGTTCGACTGTATTATTTACAATATCTAAATTAATATCAAATATGAACTGCATTATGAAAAAAACAAAAGATTTAGAAAAAAAAACACTTACCAACTGTGGACGGCGATAAATTTGTTGATATTTGAATATGTGACATTTGAGCATTAGACGAAAGCAATGGTTTATTTGGAATGTTATTTGTATTATTTACGTTTAAGTCCTCAGAATTTGAATTATCATCTATTACCAGTAATGCGGAGCATGATGGAGACGATGATTGTGATGGCTAAAAAAAAATCAATCAAACAAAGAATACGATTAATTGAAATATGATTTGACACGTATGATTGTATAGGGCAATATATCCTTATAGCAAATGAAACAAATAGTCCATACGTACATTAGAGGTAATAGGTGATGTGTTCGTTTGTCGTATTTGTAAAGTATAATCAACATTGGCATTGTCTTTCACATCGCTATTAGATAGGTACATGATTATATCTATCTAAAATGCACAGAAATCTGAAAAGTTACAAAATACTTTAATATTCAATAGTATATTCTTTTATTTGTTGTGTGTCGTTATTTGCCGTAAGATATGTTTTCTGGATCAAAGTGTTCTTTCTTATTCTCATGAGTACTTTATATCTTCTCTCTCTCGCTCTCTATTCTCTTTTATGTAAAATTAATCAGTTAACACTGTATTTTTGGAAGACAAAAAATATTACTGGTAAGAATTAGAATTAGATCAATGAGTAAATTTTTAGTCTTAATAGCGTTCTAAGAGTTTAAAAGTCACACGAAAGTTCATTGTGACATGATTGATGATAAGAAAAAAACAAAAATAAAACGATATGAGATAATTATAATAGATATGAAATAAACCTTTCATATAAATATGGAATTAAGACAGACCAACATATAATATGTCTTTTGGAAAAACTAGTAATGCATTGTCCTATTTTACTACTTATTGCTGTCTTCCTCTTCTACTCATTTATCTCGAAATACTAAAAAGCGTGAAACCATGGATGACGATATATTTTTTCTTAATAAACATACTATTTTGCAGGTTGGATGGTGTGACGGTAAAAGCAAAAAAGAAATGTGTTTAACATCAATAGAAAAAGAAGAGAATGAAAAAAGAGAAAGCAAAAAAGGCAATTTAACGGAACGGACGGATACGAAAAAAAGAACTGATGGTGCACAATCACATTAACAATAGGGAAAAAAATAAATAAAACGATATTCGATTTGTATGATACTCATTGAGTATTTAACAAAAAAAATAAATAAATAACGAAATATAATATAGAGAACAGTATAGATCAACTACTATCAGTCATTCACTGTGTATAGTATTATCTAAATATAGGCGAGAGAAAAGCTTTCTTCTTATGCGTTGCATACATAATTAGATTTATAACAAGAACAACGATATCTTATCATATACTAGATATTAATAGTCATGGTACTGTTATGAATAAAGTTGAATCAACAAAGACAGTTAGAACAGATAAACTGCAATAGTTTAATTTTTAATTTTAATTTCTTTATATTTTTCAAAAGATATTATGTGAACTTTACAATTAACTTTCTTATTACAAGGAGTTTTTTTTTGCACATGAGACAAGAAATAATATTGTAGAAAAAAAGGTTTTCTCGTCCTATTTAAAATAAATATATTTTGAAAAAAAAAACGAGCTTTGCAACAGATTTTTTTTCTTTCTAATATTCAGCATTATTTTAAAATTTATAGAATGGTCTTCGTTAATATAATTAAATTCACTAAGGAGATTCTTGATTATATGAAGTGAAAAATACAAAAAAAAAAAAGCAATTTCTATCCAAAAACATCGCAGATAAATAATAAGAATAGAAGCACAAAGATTTGTCAATTTTCTTATCATAATAATAAAAGAAATCGATGCTATTTATAAAATTTATTTGTTCGACTTTTTTTAATTAATATTTAAATGAACCCTATTATATTTAATAAATATAATAAGGACTGTTTCATAATAAATAAGATTTAACAAGAAAAAAAATTTTCAATTTTGTTTGAATCGTATTCTTGAATACTATCCGACATGTCAATAACATGTGTTTTCAAGTTTTGTTATTATATGATGTTGACAATGTCAATAAGAATGTTTTTTTCCCCTTTTTTTTCTGCGTTCTTATTATCATGAGACTTGCTCTAGTTCTTTTTCCTTTTAGTTTTAGTTCCCTATAGACTTAATCTCTGTTTTTCTGGTTTAGAGGAACGATGATTAACAATGTCGTTGTTATTTTTTCCGGTTAGGTACAAAAGTAAACTTGAAAAGAAAATAATTTAAATGACAAATGCGATTACATTAAATATTTTACATGATCTTTTCAATTTAATAAACTAAATTCAATAAGTCTTTTTTTTTTTACTATCATTTATATAAATCTAAATTGAAAACGTCAGTTAGAAATGTCCCCTATAGAGAATGTTTCTTATTGACAATGCTTTAGAATATGCTCATCAACATTAATTTACTCCGGCATGAATATTTATTCCGACAGATCTATAATTTTTTCAAAGAATTTTATCTGGTATTGTTAAGAAAATACTTCTTCAACTTATTTTACTTTGTCTTAACAATATTTTTAATTTTTATCATGTCAAAAAAAAAAAAATTATGCTCATCGATCTGTCATTTCTCTTGTATCTAATCAATTCAATCAAATTTATAATTTTATTGTAATTAATCATCAATGTAAAAAATAAAAACAAAAATCAAGAATCTGTTCGACATGCAATATAAATACACAATCAATTCAAACTTAGCAAATGAAAACAAATAAAGTGTAATACTAATTAAATCGATGTAAAGAAAATCTTAAATTTCGATATAAATATCTATCAATTAACTTAACTTTATGTAACAAAATTAAAGAGCAAATAAAAAAACAAAAATCAACAACAGAAAATCAACGTTGAATGTTGCTTAAGTAATCTTTTTTAATTAGACCTCTTATTGCTATAAAGAAAAACAAGAAGATTTATCTAATACATTATAATTAGTATTAGTATAAAGTTTTCTTTTATAATTTTAATAGGAAAAACAAGATATAGATAGATGTTCGGTTCATTGAACAACAACAACAACAAAAAAAAAAAAGGACACTATGACTTGAAGGACATTATTAAATATAATCTTCTATAGCTTTACTTTGAAGAACACACAATGACGTATGAAAAGATTAGTATTATTCTTCTGTATGTAATATTGATTTAGTTTTAGAATAGAAACATATTCTTCTTTTTATTAATCTTGAAGTCTACATATACAATGCTTACTATAATGAGTATGAATGTTATTAAAATGAGAATATACTATTTATCTTCAGTTTCTATAACATTAATTACCTCTGAATCGAAACGATCATTTAGTATTCATATTTAAATGATTGTTTTATTCTAAAATGATCCTAAATTTTAGTTAAATATATTTACTTACTTCGAATAATATCTCTTTTTTTCTAGATATTCTTCCTTTATAAAAGAAAAAAAAACCTATCTACTGTAGTCTACGGTCACATATATATGAATCATCAAATCAATGTCGAAATATGAATGCATTGATGTTGAAACTCATTTTAAAAAAGCTGGTATTAACAGCATATAAAATATATCACTAATACAGATTATATATGATATTAAATTCTTTGGATGAACTAAAATTAGAAAGTTGACTTTAATGACATCACTTGTTTACATCATTCTCAAGTGCAATCTTTTTCACTCTTGTTAAAATGTCATTGTCGTATAACACTATTCGTTGGATAAAACTCATCTTTCCTAAGAAAATATATATATATATATATATATATATGAATATCTTGTCTAATTTAATATATTTCTATTAAAATTTTTTTTCTGACATTTCTATAAAATCCAGATGTCGCCATAGTAAGTGCATTCAACGCTGTTTTACATTTCACGTCACGCTTTATATCATTGCATCAGGTGCTAAATTGATAGAAAGATCTTTTTATTGAGTATCGGAAAAAATAAAAATAAAAATCGTATTTCTGATTATTCTCTTTTGGAACCAATCATTGTATATATGATGATGAAATATAATGAAAAACACAAAAAAAAGGACACAGTGATCTATAAAAAAAAAACATAGTTGACTCAGTACATTATTTTTATGACGAATAAACTAATGCACATTCTCTAGGCATCTTACAATTGGGTTAATTGAAAAAAATGTTTACATAAAAAATAAAATATGACTACAGTGTTCATTATATTATATTTTTGTCTTAGTCATTTTTACTTTTTTCTTTTTATTGTAATTAACTACTTTGATCTTTATTATAAATACTTGCAAACCCTTAGCTACAATAAAATTGCCGAGCGGGACATTTATTCATTTATTTTTCAAAATAATGAACATCGTATTTTTCTTTTACAAATATTATTCATATCTCCTTGATTCTAACTATAGATAAATCTTGACTATAAATCCAATTAAAAAGTATCTACACTAATCTTCTTTTCGAAATAATTACAAGAAAATAGATAACTACGACTTACCAATAAGTAGATGGAGCCTTATCTTTACTAGGAGAATAATACTGAATTATGTTTGAATTAAATTCACGTGTGTCTTCATTTCTTATTTTTATCCACCAATCAGAACTTGGCATCTGCTACTAAAAATATAGGGAACGTGCGTGATTCTTTCGCACTTCACAAAAAAAAATTGTTGCTTTTGTGTTGTTTCAATAATACATACATTATTTTCAGAATTTGTAATGAAGAAATCTATTGTTCTAACCTTGTGCTCTGCCAAAAGAACCCTAAAAATGACATTCTCATTATCTCTCTATTTCAGTCATTATTTTTATACAACTCCTATTGTATTATTTGAAATATAAATCTCTATCAATCTTTATAATGTGACCTAATCGAGATAGTCATCATTCTAATTAGTCGATTCAATTCATTTTTGATTGCTTTATTAAGTTTCATTTGTGTATCAAAAGTGAATTGAATACTTAATTTAGTATTAACTTTTTCAATGAAGACAATACCTTATAAAAAATGCGTCAATGTATTTATCTTGATAGATAAGATGTTGATTAGAATTTTAAAAGACAGTAGTTTGGTGGTATTTTTATTTCACCCAGACTCCTTTTCTATTGCATTTTGACTTTTTGTTATCAAGTCATTGCGCCATAAGGATAAAAAAAGAAGAGACCAATAAGACTTTCTAGAACATGAAAATCAATGACGCAGAAAGAAAAAAAAACAAATATTTTACCTTCATATTTTGATCTTTCTTCATGTCAAATAACATTAAAAATTACAAAGATCTTAGGAAATATCAACATTCAGGTCGAATTGGTCTTCAAGTCAACCTACTTTCATTTGATGCTTAAGTAAAAATATTAAAAAATAGTAATAAAAAAAAAAACTCTCCCTTCTATAAATTATGGTGAATAAATTGATGTCAATGAAGCTTGTAATTGCATGAAAATAGCGTATGATGACGACTGTAATTTCTTTTTTTATAATGTTAAAGTAAGTGCAGTTGATAAAACTGAAATAATTATAGGTCAAGAAGTAAAAAAATAATATTTGAGCAAGATAGTATTCAAAGTAATGATTTAGTTATTGTAACATTCTGTTTTTTTTTGGAGGTACACCATATTCACATGCATACATTAACAAAGCTAATCTAAAAGTTTTATCACATAAAAATTTATATGAAAGAATTAAAGAAAGTTTGAAAAAGGCTTGAGTTTGATTGTATTGACATGGTTTTTTGCTCGTCGTCTTCATTTTCGAATTCACTAATGGATGAAATTTTTAGAGGATTTATTTAATTTATTGATAAAGATTATACTTTTCCATTGAAGAACATCAGAATGGTCTATGAAAGTAAACTTTTTCATTTTTTACTTTAGACAACATATTACATCGTATTCAATTTAAAGTTGTATATGCTCGTATTCACAAACAACCGATTAGTTATTGCATAACAACAATTTGATCATCATTAGAGTCAGATCTTCTTACTGGAAAAAATATATAGTAATAAACATTTTGAAGGTGATGATAATCTATTAGGTTCAAAAAGAAAAGATGTTGATATGACCTAGAGAATTGCTGTAATCTGGTGAAGGTTTTAAAGAACTTAAAGAAAAAAATATTTGATCGGATGATGATAATAGTTAAAAATTTGATACCAATTACTAGGTCATTAGGTGCAATCTTAGCTCAATTAGTACTTTTTTGATTGGAAAAAAAATAATTTCAATGTAAACACAGTGATTAAAAGCGTAAGTCGTTCTAGTTAAGTAGCAGAAAATTTTAAAATATTGGCAATTATTCTAAAATTAACACTGGATATTATTTAGAAAATTGAATAAGTTTTGAAGAATAAACTAAAACAACAAGTTGACTGAATAAAATTTAATTAAATTTTTAGATTTTAGTTTTTAGAAAAGATTATTTTTGTACCAATAAAACTATGATATCTGAAATATACTTAGCAAAGTTTGTTCACGTTCACTGTAATAAACTAAATACTTCAATACTAACTGTATTGTGGCAAAAAACTATCGAAAAAATTTTTTATTATATTTGTATACAAATTATTGCGACATTGTTGTTCTAGGATAGATATTTCTATTTCCATTTTCTAAATGATCAGTAACTAATATTTCAACTTCATCAATTAAATTTGATACTTGTTGATTGCTAACAAATGGTGATGAATCAATATTTGTTTTAAACCATTCAATACCATTTATTTTATGAAATAATTTATCATGTTTAGTTAAAATTTTTTTAAAACCCATATAATTTAATGTTTGATAATTTTGTAAAAGTACTAATAATAAATAAAGTTCACTAAATGCTAATTTTAAATCATCAATATGATTATAATTTGAACGAAGAATTTTTCTATATCGTTGTCGTCTTCGTCGAATTATTATTTGTTCAGATTCATTAATTATTAAAGATTTTTTAAAATAATTTAATTCTGTATGAAGTTGTTCAAAACGACGAATACTTTCAGATAATTTTTCACCGAAAAAAACATTAATTTTATGAAGTTCTTTATTACAATAAGCAAAAAAACGTTCATCAATACGTGAAAAATAACGATTACGAGTTGTTTCAGCATGAGATGGAGAACGATCAACAGCAGCATAAAGTATAGCAACCATAGCTTCATATTGAAGATATTGAGAACGCCATTCTGGCGTAAGATGAGTAGCTAAATGAGCACCGAATTTTATACCGAATAAATCACGACCCATTGAATGATAATTAAGTCATCTAGAGTTCTCGTTTATTTTATTTTTGCGCTCTTGATTATCATCAAACTTTTTTCATTTATTTAGAAAGAAAAAAAGAATTTATAAATATTTATTATGAGTAAGACAAACTACATTATTATGAAATAAATGTTTATTTATTTATTTATTTATTGTCAGTTTTGTCGAAGTGGTGGATATTTAACCCTTTTATGTTCATCTAAAATGACACGAACGACACCACTTTGGATTGTTGCAGATGATTCTGGTGTACCATCATCGACTACTTCAATATTTTGTTCACCTAATTTATAAAAAGAAAGATAATATATTCAATATTTGATGCTTTTAATTTTCTTTCTACCATCTTGTTTGATTGCTTGAACTGCTTCTTCTTCCGATTTTCCAACAAGATTGTTCCAACGTTTTCGTAAATCAGAGCAGCCACCACTCATTTTAACTATAAAAATAATGTGAATAAAGCACAGGTGTGCAGTATTTATATATGGAAGGTTATCACATGTTTATTCATAGTTACCTTATTACCTTTTTTTAATGGCAAGGAGAATGAATATCGAACATTCTTACTAAAATATGACGAAAAAAAAACCGTAGTTATATTGAAGTGACAAACATTTTTCACTATGTGCAATAAATCACATTATCGCTTTCTCGTTCTCTTCAAGTACGAAATAAAATATCACTGTGATAAAATCATCGAAATACTGGAGAAAAAAAAAAACATCAGTAAATAACAATATTTTACTTGGATGTCTTGCTGACGATATTCAAATAGTTTTGAGTGCATAACTCTTACAAAATAATAATATAGGCAAGTTACTGTTCTAACGAACAAGTTGCAATCTGTTTCATATACCTGAAACTAGTCAGATTTTTTCCGATTGGCCAGTTGAAATTCTTGGCCAAACCGGCAGAGGGACCAGTACACTTAATATATCAATTAAGCGATCAGTTATTTCGAGAAATAATCTCTTATTTCAGTTCTACAAAGACATACAATATAAAACTCATATAACTCTTGAAGTTTATAATAGTAACAAATCTTATTCTAGTTTGTCACGTTTCATATGTGCTAATATTAAGGACGAACAAAAATTTCTTTCAAAATGCTTCATCTAGTAACTCACATCAATTAACATCTATATTTTGCTTTAGCTGACTTTTTTTCGATAGATCTCAATTTGTAAAAGAATATTATTGCCGGTAGAAAGATACTACAGTTTTTATATTAAACTTCTTATTTTAAGGCTTCTTAATATATAAATATTGTCACAGTTGCATGATGCTTTTAGTTGGCGAGATTTTAACAACGGAAAAGAATCGTTTCTGATATTCTGTAATGAAAGCATGAACTGAAAACTACTAGCTATTGAGATTTTATAAGAGTCGATTAAATAGTCCAGAAAAATGAGCTCGAAATTTTGAGATAAAAATTTTCATGTTTAGATCAAAATTGACTTCTAATATCTGGCTAACTTTTTGTGAGCGCAATAAATTTATTCAGCATGATCCGAGACTTTCATCTTACAATGAAACAGTGTTAACTCAATATTTAGAGCTGGAATTTTGACGATGACTAGAAATTTGTCAATTGGAGACTTTCAGACTCATATATCTTGATTATTAAAACTATAGAAATCATTAAAAACGAGCACAATAGACCAGTTATGGTGCCCTAAAGATCAACAGAAAAAAAACCCAGCAACCCGATCGGTCCAGTTTCAAGTATAATCAGTTTGATGCATGTGATTGCTTAAAATTAGAATAGGAATGTGTTCGTCTAGGGTTGTGTACTTCCTCAAATCAGAAAAGCGAAAAGATCAGTCAGAAAAAGTGAAAACAATGTGGAAAGCTGTTTTTCGTGAGCTCTTCGCATGTCTATGGATTAAAATAATTGGTTGATTCTTCCCACGGCACTTCTTCATTCTCAAAGTTTCAAAACATAATACTCAAAGAAGATGAATGTTTTATTAAACATATCATTTTTTTTAATGCAGATACAATTATTGTTTGAATGGTTTTCGATTAGCAATTCTTCTTGAGACAACAGATGTTTGTACATGTTCATGTGAAAGTGAAGTATTTCAATGGCTTTGTATTTCTGCAGCTATTGAATCTACTAATATTCAATTGTAAAAGTCATTGGACAAATGTCTCATCTCCAAAGAAAACACTTTCGACGTTACGTCCTTGTTAGAATAGGACACAGGATAAATCATATAAACAGCAATAGGTTGTAGACGATAGCTACTAAAATTTAGTATTAATAGATTTTCTTGTCTCAAATATTTTCCCGTAAAACCCAGAACGAGTGGCAATCCCGTTTTCATCAATTATTAAACACCTTAGTGTGATTACCATAAGATGTGCTATAGTTCAAGACAATAACTTGCAAGAGTAGATTCTAAACAATGATGGTGACCTCTCGCTTAACTATACTATGCATTTATGAAATGTGTAATAAATTAAAATTTAGTTTTTAGTTTTAAATTACAATCTCATTATTTTCCAGACGCATCGTTCGAATATGTCGAATCGATGAAAGTCGATTCATCAATTTGTCTAAACAATTAAAGTTTTATTATTCAGAGAAAATTTTCAGAATGATACAAAATCAAATAAAAATTGAATTCAATACAAAATCTATTAATATCAGAAATTCTCAAACACAAGATTGATCTTTCAACAAACTAGACCAAGGCGTAAAAGTGTTCCTTGTGGCACCCATTAATATGGATTCATACTTAATATTCAGAAAGTAAAAATTGAAAGATACTCGAAATATTTCTCATTGCATGATAATTTCAAATTAAAACCTGTATATATTGAAGAAAATAATTTATTTTGTTATGATTTCATTGTAGCCTGACGTATCGTAGAGCATGTTTATCAAAATCGCAATTCAACTAGACAATTATACAATGTAACCATAAGTCAAGACGAAAAAATGTGTTTTCAAAATGGATAGGTATCGAGTATGATCCACTTTAACATTCTCTTGAATGGATTCATGCCTGCATATTGATTATGAAGTCACCAATATGATCAAGACATGTTCATTTATTAATTATAAATAGTTACACATGTTAAGAAATTAACATTTTACATCATTTTCTGAAGTGTTTTATTTTTCCACTAAAACAAAATGAAAAAAAAAACAACGAAAAAATCAGCATTCTATCTTTAACTAATGAATAATCTTCTTCTTCTAATGCTGCCTGTAGGCGTTTGCGATTAATGTTTTACACTGTTCTCTGTTTCTGGCTGTTCGCAAAAGTTGTTCTGTACTGGTACTTGTCCAATTTTTGATGTTCTGTAGTCATGTTGTTTTTTGTCGACCGGGCTTCTTTTTTCCAGGTATCTTTCCTTGTAGTATGATTGTTAAAAGTTTATATTTGCTATTGTTTCTTATGATATGACCGAAATATTGACATTTTCTTTTTGTAATTGTTGGTATTAGTTCTCTTTGGGTGTTTAATCTTTGTAGCACTTCTACATTGGTTATTTTATCTGTCCATGATATTTTCAGCATTCTTTTGTAGAATTACATTTCTAATGCTTCGAGTTTTTTAACTGCCGTTGAAAGTAAAGCCCAAGTTTCGACGTTGTATAGTAAAACTGACCATATATAGCATTTCAATGTTTTTAAACGAATTGTCATATTCCAGCTGTTATTGGTTAGAAGTGTTTTCCATTTTATGAAAGATTGACTCGTTTGCGCGATTCTTGTGTTTATTTCTATATTATGATCTAGTGTTGAATTAATAATTGATCCTAAATATTTGTAGTTTTCTACTTGCTCAAGTTTTGTATGATTTAATTTAATGTTGATGTTAGTATATGTTTTGCTAATCTTCATGACTTTCGTTTTAGTTTTGTTAATTCTAAGTCCGAGTGAATCGCTTGCTTCATTAACTTTATCGAGTAGTATTTGTAGGTCTTGTTCATGTTCGACGATTAAAACTGTGTTGTCAGCATATCTGATGTTGTTTATCCAATGTCCGTTAACTTGAATACCGATGTTAGCATGTTCTAAGATTTGATTGAAAATTTCTTCGGAGTAGATGTTAAATAGAATTGGTGACAGAATACAACCTTGCCTTACTCCTGTCTTTATTGGAATTTCTTAACTTAATTTGTTTTCATACTTTAGCACTGCTTTTTGTTTCCAGTATAGATTTTTAATGATTTGTAAATCTTTGTCATCTAATCCGATCTTTTCTAATTGATTAATTAGTTTTTCGTGTTTGACTGTGTCGAATGCTTTTTCAAAGTCAATCAAACATAGATAAACGTCCTTTTGATGTTCTAAACATCTTTGAAGTAAAACTTGTAAGCAAAAACTTGCTTCTCTGGTCTCAAAACTCTTTCGAAAACCGAATTGTGTTTGTCTAATGATGTTTTCATATTGATTAGTTATTCGATGTTGAATAATACGCAAAAATATTTTTAATACGTGACTCATTAAACTAATAAGGCGGTAATCTTCACATTTCCGGCTATGTGTTTTCTTTGGTATCGCAACGAATATTGATTTTAGCCAGTCAGATGGTATGTTTCCACTGATGTAAATTTGATTAAAGAAGTTTGTAATTTTTGTAATGTTGTTTTCGTCTAACTGTTTGAGCGTTTCAGCATGAATTTCGTCTGGATCACAAGATTTCCTTGTTTTAGATTGTGTAATACTATGTTTGACTTCAGAATTTAGTATTGATGGACTTGTATCGGTCATTGTGATTTTTGGTTCTGATCTTGCATCATCGAACATATTTTTAATGTAGTTGTACCAAATTTTTTGTTTTTCTTCGATTATAAGAATTGGTTTGTCTTTGTTGTTGTATAATGTTGATATAGTTGATTTCTTGTAGATATTTCCAGCTTCTTTTAATTTTTTATGAAGATTAAAATTATCGTGCTTCTTTAGTAATTCATCTATTTCTGCACATCTGTCGGCCATCTATTGTTCTTTTGTAATTTTTATTTCTCGTTTGATTTTTGACTGTAATTCTTTGTACTTTGGTCCTTATATTTTCGTCGCTCTTCCATTAGTTGTAATATTTCTTCTGTCATCCATTTCTGCTTCTTTTTCTTCATGGTAAGACCTAAAATGTCTTTCTCTACTTTTGTGATTTTCCTCTTAATTAATTGACATGACTCTTCTACAGTATTGATTGTAGTTGACAGCATGTTTAGTTCTTCATTTAGACTTGTTTTCATCTTTTTCTGTATGCCACTATTCTGGATTTTTTCGGTATCTATTTTTTGTGTTAGTTTTCTTTTTATTGTTCGTATTTTTAGACGTAATGTAGCTACTACTGGGTTGTGGTCAGACCAGATATCAGTTCCAGGACAGGTTTTAACATTTTGAATGCTGCTTTTAAATCGATTATTAATAAGTATATAGTCAATTTGATTTCTGATGATGTTGTTCGTT